CCYTYCYTYYKSCACTGGGAGGGGAAGAATGARCCCTCTGCTCCTYCCCCTTACAAACACCCTGCTTCCAATTGCCCYSTGTGTGGACATGGTGCACARCTTGGCARGGGTTGGTGCTGCTCTGGCTKCCAGAGGGGAATTATGGATGGGAAATTGCAGTCCCTGTCACCCTGAGCCTTGGTGAASGCATCAGAAACCAGCACAGAGCATCAGGCGACTGGAACTGGAGTTACTTCTCATTGCTTTGACACTGCAAGCTTAAAAATCTCCTTGGGCCTTGCAGCCTTAGCTCCTTCCTTTTCACATGGAATAYTTTTTTATGCTCCCTGCAAGGGCTGTGCTCACCCTTGGGCTGCAGTGGGATTTATCTGGGTTACCAAAGACAGTGCTGGTGATCCCAAAGCTGGTTTAGTGCGAGCCTGCAGGTCTGCCTGCCCCGGCACTGTATGAGCACAGGATTATGGACTGGAAACTTGGTGGTGATCTTGGAAGGACTAAGTAGCTCAGGTCTGTGCTACACTGAGGGGCCAGGGGATGTGACTGCCTGCTGCAGGAACAGCTTCTTTGACACCACATGATGGTTTCTTATGATGCATTTCATGTGCCACACCTCCTTGTTTTATCTGCTGGTGGATGGTCTAGACATCCCAGCTGAGGGCCAAACAAGCATTTGATGTGTCACTGGCCTGCAGGCAATGAGGCAAGGTCAGCAGGGAATTAGTTTAAATTAGTAGATGAATTAACCAATTATAACTTATTAACCTTTGCTCCTCCTGWGAATAACCCTCTGATTTCATAGGTCAACATCAAAGACCTTGACCCCAAGTATGCCCATATTCAAGTGACGTATGTGAAGCCCTACTTTGAAGACAAAGAAATGTCTGAAAGGAAGACAGAATTTGAAAGAAATCATAATATCAATAGATTTGTATTTGAAACTCCTTATACTTTATCTGGAAAAAAGCATGGCAGTGTGGAAGAACAATGTAAAAAAAGGACTATTCTAACTAGTAAGTGCAAACATGAGATGGTAACTATTGTGAGAGTATTCTAGCTCATGAAAATATCTTAGAAGTGTCACAAATTCTCTCAGAATTCTTATTCAGAATTGTGAGACAATGTTCTGGTTGGGAGGGGCGATTTACCTTGTGTTTTTATGTGCACATTTTTACATATTAAAAAGCCATGCTGGTTAATTATAGCCTTGTTTGGGATTTCACATCCCTAAGTGCAAGAATCTGCTTGTAGGTATTCTATGAAGCATAATCCTGTGTGCTGCATGACTTTTCAATTTATACATTTATTTTGCTGTTCCTGCTAGCTCTGAACTCCTTCCCATATGTAAAGAAGAGAATTCCAGTCAATTACGAGCATCAGGTTAATTTAAAACCAATCGATGTCGCTACGGATGAAATAAAGGACAAGACAGCAGAGCTGCAGAAGCTGTGCTCCGCTGGTGATGTTGACATGATCCAGCTGCAGCTCAAGCTGCAGGGCTGTGTTTCWGTGCAGGTCAGTCTGTTTGATGTCTGTTCAGAATTTACATACACAGCTCAGGGTGAGGCGTCAGCACAACGCACAGCATTGACTTTCCAGCAATCATTAACCAGCCCTGCAGCCTCCAGCACAGCCACGGTCACTGCTGCACAGCCAGACTCCTGCGGATAAACACCTTCTCCAGTGGTGTTTGCAGTGTCAAATCCAAGGGAAATTGCACCTTAATYAGCCATAAGTGACTGCTACAATATACTTCAGTCTTGAAGACTGCAGTCAGGCACAAACAGCCTTTTTGTGAGCCTGGCTTCTCAAGCTCGATAAATGACCTTAGGACTCAGACCATGCTGCTTTCCCACACGGAAATAAGAGGAGAGTATGAGGAAATAATCTCTGTTTTTATCYCCATTTATCTTTTCATCTCAAAAACATAGATAGAAAAACAAATGCTCAACTTTTGAAATTTCAGGTGCCTCTGGTGACATTAGTAATACAGAGCTGATGACACTGAAATAGTGTGCTAATGTTGGGTGGGGTTTTGTAAAAAGTTGTTATTCCTTTCACAAGTGCTTTTAGMCTCTCAGCAGAAGTTCTAGCATAAATGATTTCTTCTTTCATTCTAGGTTAATGCTGGTCCTTTGGCCTATGCCAGAGCTTTCCTAAGTGACAGCCAGTCTAGTAAATATCCTGCCAAGAAGGTGAATGAGTTAAAAGAAATGTTCAGGTAGGATTTCTGATGTAATAAAAGCTAGCAGCTGGCTGGAAGGTGGTACCTGCTTTGATTATATTTTTGTCTTTCTCTGAACTCGGCAGATGCTGGATACTTAAATGTGTCTTATAAAGATCCAAGGCTCATGGGGTTATGGGTGCTCACACGTATGAAAAAAACCAATGAAATTATAAATATCAAGAGTTYCCAAGCCCAAGGCTGTGCTCTCCATGGGGAAATTTGTTTGAACTTTTGCTTCAACAGTTTGTGTGGGTATTTGAGATTATCATGGGAAGGAAATATGTTTGAAAACCAGAGATCTGACAGTCCTGTGTTCAGGGGTCTTTAATATTGAGCATTGTTTGCCAATTTTTTCCAAAGGGATTTTTTGCTAGATAATGATGGACTTGAAATATTTTAAAGYAAGTCCTTTACTTTAAGGCACTATTCTTTTTTCTGTTGCTAGTATTTGAAACTGTATGACTTGGGCAGTTGTTTTTCTAACTTCTGTCCCTTAGGACCTCCCACTTGAAAGAGTCCCCAGGATATAATTAGACAACCCCTGCTTCACCTCAGGATGATGAKTCTTTGCCACACTCTTTTCTGGACCTCTTGGGTGCAACCAGTTGTCCGCCAGCCCCTCATCTGTCATTCTGTGCTGGTGACTCCCATTTCACCCATTTCTCCATTCTCATTTGGGCCAATCCTGTTCTCTTTCCATGTATTGAATAACCCAGCAATAACGGAGCAATCCCTGAAAACATGCCATGCTTTTATTTTACAGCCTCACAGTGCAAACACGAACTCCAATGCAGTTGTGATTGTGTTGACATCGAGGTTTATAAAAAAAAGGGAAATATGTGTGTTAAATGAAGCAAAGAATAAATAACAGAACCAAGAGACGGCACCACAGCTCCCCACGGTGTGAACTTCCTTCTGGAGGTGTCTCTGCTGTTAGCAGCCCGACCTGTCACAGCCCTGCTGTCCCCATGTCCCCAGCTGTGCCCAGCCCTGCAGGACTGGCTGTCCTTTCTGAGCATCCAGGCTCAAAGGAGCTCTGCACAAARCCCCATAGCAGTGCTGTAGTCCCTCTCCATTCCCTGATCCGCTGTCCCAGGGATGTTCCTGGAACAGGACTTGTCTCAAACACTGGAGAAAAGGGAGTGGGAAATACTGAGATTTGCCTCTCTGGTTGGTTGTTTGCTGTGRTAGAGGACTGGACTGTTGTAATGCCCCAAATTCATGCCTTTCCTCTCCAGGAAGTTTATCCAAGCCTGTGGAATTGCTCTGGAGCTCAACGAGCGTCTCATTAAGGAGGATCAAGTGGAGTACCACGARGGGTTAAAGTCCAACTTTCGGGATATGGTGAAAGAGCTTTCTGACATCATCCATGAACAGGCACGTACTRCAGGGCAGCTCCCAGAGGTGGCTGGCTGTGCTTGGAAAATGACTGGGAACTAACTGAAAACGTGATCACTCCTCATGTTATGTAGCTAAATATAAAACAGTGAGTAAGCCGACTTGAAAGTCCAGCAGTAGGCTTGGTGGATCCCTAAGACTGCTTTCTGCTGACTGAAAGTCTCAGCCTGGTGCTGGCATTCAGGGAGCTGCAGGGTGGGGTCTTCACTGCCACACCACTCCCTGCCCTGGTCATCAGAAATCCTATGCCATGTTCTGCATCATTTGCAAATTATAAAGAGATCMCAGGTCAAAGTTCTCTGACAAAATTTCCATTTCCTCAGTTATATCCAGCTTMAGTTATTTTAGAAAATATGTTACTTTTCCTTTTCTTATCATTTTTGCTTAATGCCAGCATGCCATTTATATGCACTGTTAAAATTCGTGCTAACTTATCTGATCTATGTTTTAATGTTTTCTTGGGTCTTTCTAGCAAAATACATTTGAATAGTAGCATCAGAGAGGTGGGATATTCAAAGAGCAGTTGCACTTCTACCTAGTACCATGCTGTTAAATTAGATGAGACCTGGCTTTCTGAAGTGATTTCCATATCTCTGCCCTTTAATTTTGCCTTTTATTAGGACAGAAGAAATCTGTTGCAGATTTATAGTATCAAGAATATCAAATCAACGGTACAGACTGCATTGTGGTCCACAGAACTTGAAGTTTGGAAGAATGCTTTCAGGATGTCCCAGTTAGTCATAGTGACTACAAATTAAAGATGCAGCATTTTAACTCACTAAAAATGGATAGACAAATTCCAGTCAGTGGAGTAGCTGTTTACACTAATTGAAAAATTTGCGAGTGGCAAAATAATACAACTGCACCAGGCTGCTGTTTGTAAATTAGGTTTATTTACAATAAAATAATGCTTATGGGAATCAGAGTCTTGTTATGGAAGARTACAGCATCATTTCAGGGAAACAGTCTCATGATTGGGATGAGTTTTGTTGTAGGAGTGTGAGGGAGGATCTGTTTGAAAGTGACTGCTGCATCCTGTTGCTTTTCTTATATTCCCCTTCTATTCTGCTCATGACCACCACTTTTTTTTAGTGTGCAAAATACTGATTTTGCACATTTGCCACACAGTATTTTTCACTGCCACTACTGTGTACTCCACTGCTGAACTTTGCTCAGAGAGGCTTGTTCAGAGGAGCTGCCACCTGCTTATTCTAAGTTATTTGCCAGTGAACCTTTCCAAGGCATTTAATTTGCATGCAGCTGCTAGAACTTTTGTGGCTTCTGAATTTTGCAATAGTCAAATCAAAACCAAATCACTCAATCCTTCACTGTCACAGTACAATAGTCAAGATTATTTTAGAACAAAGAAGCATTGTTAAAACACACTCCCTGTTATCTCAATAGATTTATCCACAGGCAAAATAGTACTGAAATGTCCAAGTGAAGGGCTCCCTGGGAAGAATGTACTTTTCACTTTATTCTTGTAATAGATTAAAAGGCAGCTTAAAAGACCATGTTTATGAACACCATTCTTTATAGTTGCACAACATAAAGTTGTACAACTGCTGACTTGAACTTTGCATTGCCATCAAATGACCTAATACTTAACAAGTTCAACTTAATGGAATATGTTTTCTTATTTTGCAGCATTACTCAGTTAAATATAAAAAGTGCATTAATTTAGGATTCTCACTGCAAATAACATAAGCTTTTCTAAATATTGTCAGTGTCCCAAATCAGCACAGCAGTGTCCTTCGTTTGAGATGAAAGGGCAGATGGGTAATCACTGGGTCAGCCTGTGACCTGTTTACAGATCTTTTAATCTAAAACATAAATACAAAAAATTGGCAAACRGCAGCTGAACAGGTCCAGGAAGTTTGAGACTGGCAGAAAGCTGGATGTCCAGAGGCTGTTTATGATGGCCAGGGATCTCAGTTCCACTAATGCAATTTCAAGGTAAATGACTGGTGAACCACACAGTGAAAGCAAATACAGTCCAGTTGGACTCTTGCTGTCAGACTGTCCTTCAGGCTATAAAGTACAAAATCAGGACACAGAGCTAGTGAGTGTTTGGGGAATTTAGCTGCACGTACTTACAATAAAACCTATTAGAATTCTGTTACTGATAAGACATAATAAAAGATTGCTATACAGAGAMCTGTTTCTTTCCTACAGTGCATAGTTGTAAATTCATCCAGTAATAGAGAAGAGTGTCTTTTTTAATGCTACAGAAATTGCTAAATTATTCTTTTTTCTCATTTCTTTGTTACGCTGCCTTYGTGAAACAGCTTTGAAGACAAGGTTGGGTATCTCTTTTGCATGCCTTTTCAAACAGCTTGATTATCATAATGAAGTGAAACCTGTACTGAATTTGGAATTGTTTTGCTTTGTTTAGATCTATCATGAAGACACAATGCATTCGCCGTGGATGCAGGACTCGCTTCACGTCTTCTGTGCGATCAGCGGAACCTCTGGTGATGGGAGTTACTGCTCACTCAGACCCACTGCTGACATATAAACATATCAGCCACATTTCACAGAGCCTTCTCAGGAATTCTTGGAACTGTATAAAGGATGTTTAAAACCATCCATGTTGAGCAAAGATTCAATTGTGGGGTGGTTTGGTTTGTTTTGGTTATTTTTTTTTTTTTCCACAAAAAAAAAGTTACCATGCTTTCAAACAGGGTGCTTGCTTATTTTGCTGAGCAACATTGAAAGTGCCTGGACATTGCACCACTGTGCTTGTTTTCTACTATTTTTTTTAAGCTAAATGAATAGCAGGACGTGGAAAGGCAGTTATCTAAATATGTTTTGAATTGCTGAACTATGAATCGAAACCATGAYGTACTATGTAAAGTTGTACAATGGAATATAATAAAATGTAAAACTACTTTGTACATAGAAGGAGTATAGAGTATATAGAAATTAGCATTATATCMTATTTGCTGCTAAAAGCTTTGTTGGACAGGGGACATGAAGGAGAAATTGTAGTCACTGGTGAGAGACCTTTCTCTTCTAAAAAGTGRCTTGGGGTCCAGACCCCCCTATTGCACTCAACGAGAGTAAACTTGCCCTAGGCTGGAATAACTAAAACCTAAGTCAGAAATKATAAATTTCATACATCCTCAGAGCAGATATTTCTAAAGTAATCTCCATGAAAGCTGAGCTTACTGGAGCTGATTCCAATTCTGGGTAACCTTTCCCAGCTGCCGGAGAGGATGGATTGTACTCACTGAGGGCAAACCTGAGAGATTTGCCATTTCATATGAGTTTTCCTGTTTGACACTCATAGTCTCACACAAATATAAACTCTGAGAACAGCTTAAATTGAGTTGTAAATTATAAGGTGCTTTAACACCTTTTGAAAAAATTCCAATAATCGGAAAGATGCGATTTAAAAAATTGCAGCACATCAAAGTAACATACTAAATTGAGGGATTTGTTAGCACCGTAAGTCATGCATGTTCCCTCCTTTTAAACAGATCTGTTCTCTCAAATCTCATTGTTTTTGTCTGATAGGTAGTTGGAGAAAATATATTTTTCAGGGTTCTTTCATTCCTTCTTCCCCTTCCCAAAGCTTTCATACATCCTCTGTCCCTTTTTTAATAATACGCTTCAGATTCAGGAAGAAGAACACAGTTCAGTAATTCTTTTATCCAGCGACATTTTTAACATCTGTGTTTTTCAAAATCCTGTCAGTTGTAAATATGGTTCCAATATGGGAAGGGTGGGGGTTTTAAGGATATGTATCAAAATGCCATAATAAAAAGACTCCAGCTGGGTATTTAGCTTGGCTGCAGTGTCTATAAAATGTTAAGCTTCTAAATTTTTGTGACAAAAAATATCCTCAAATAGTAACTGGACCACATTTCAAAGTGTYTATTGTGCATGATTCTAAATTCCTGCAATTATTTGTCTTCTGAGGAATTAATGTCGTGATCCATAAATTCACCCATTAGCTGTTTCAAGCAAAATACAGATGTGCCTACAACAAACCTGCCATATTTCTGCTTGTATGTGCTTTTGTGCCAGACAGACTCTAAATTTAGCACAAACAGAAAGAGGAAGAGAGACTAGAGTGTTTAAATATGTTTACACCTTCCTGATTGTTACCTTTCAACAAATAATATTTAARAGCATGTAGTGAGAGTTTTCCAAATTGCTTTACTCGAAGGTGTGAAGCTCGTTAATAGTTGATCCAATACCAGATTTTTTTTGAGCTAATTGACTTCTAAATATCAGTACTAAAGGCTTATCTTGACTACAATCAGCAATGATGAGACATAGACATGCAAAAGCTCTTGCACTGTAGCTCTTTTAAATACCACAGGTAACCTAACAGTTTTCCTGGATTTACAGGGAGATCATTATGCATGTTTTGTGATGTTTTTAATCTTCTGAGATATCATTGTTGGCTGAATTTTTGTATTTTATTCCTTATTTTTATTGGAATTCCAGTGAAATTCTTACTCGTATCTTCAGGTGTCTTTAATGGTCCAAGATGAATTTTGATCTGTGTTTCTCAAGTTTTGGTATTGGAGTTGTCCTGTCATTTCACTCTCGTGTACTGGAAGGCTTTCTCAGTAATTTGGCCGAAGTAGAAGTGTTTAGCACCAGTCCAGTTAGCATATATACAGTCATTGCATTTCAGAATACACTTATATGAATTACAGAAAATATATGCCCCAAGGATTTGCCTTCATTTCTGCTAAATATTTTTTCTGGATTTTCTACAGAAAAAATCTCCTTTTTAGATAGGTTATAAAAAGACTGGTTACAAACCAACTGGTTTTTCCTTCGTGTATTCACCAATCTAGAAAGGATGGAGAGTGGCCATTATTTTACAGCTGTGTGTGGACAATGGTGCCAAGAAGATGATCACATTTCTCTATGTGTCCTTTTCCTATGTAATTGTCACAGTTTAAAGAAATGCTCAAGATTTTTTCTTAATTATGGCTGAAACAGCTTAATTCACAGATCTATCTGGAGAGTATATTGTATATGTGCCTGTTTTATGTAGCAGGTACTCACACTGCTACTCTTTTGAGAAGAATAGAAATGTCTGCTGTTCATCAACATTTTGGTTTTCTTATATTGCCTAAGGAATGCTAGGAATTTTTTCATCTTGAAAAATTAGTGGGATTTTAAATTACATCCTGGCATGCGCTCTTTCTGTGTCTCAGTTTGGCTACACTGTGTATTTGAGTGCTCTAATCATTTTTACTGCAAGACTGCTGTGTAACACATCAAGTATTCAGCATGGATGCATTGGTAATTTTGCATAAAAGGAAAAGAAAAGGGATGAAGTATCTGTCTGTGAGGATTAAGAGCTCTTGGCTACTCTCAGTATCAGGGTTGGTTTGGATAATGGTTTGTGTCAGAGCCAGATGGTTTGCAAATAGCACAGACAAATCAACAAAGSGTCTGCCAGCATTTAATRTGCAAKAACTTGCTTTTAGAGACTTACAGAGAGAGCAGTGCAAACATTTTCTCTGACCTACTGCTTTTCTCTCGGCASAGGGATTAGAAAGTAGCATTTTAAGAAAAATAATTTCAGAGCTCCACTTCCTTCCTCCCCAAAAAATCCGGAATGAAGAACTTACTGCAGCAGAGGATGTGCTTTTACATGCTACTTGGTATTCTAAACTTCTGCTAACAGGACTTTTCAGGAGATAGGCCAGCAAATGAAAAATCATAGATCAGGGAATACCTCTAGTGGGTAACCTGTTTATTTTCTTCCAGAAAATTTTTGAACATACACAACATTGTATTTTGATACAGAATAAGACTACATAAACATAATGCCTTTGTCTCAGAGTCGGTAAAATAAGTTTGTTTTCCCTTTCTGTAGAGACAGAATCCATGGACTTCACAGTATGATTTGATTAATGTGGCCCAAAAGAACTGGAGAAGAACATAGGTGGAAATCATAAAAAATTTGATAGAAATTATCTACACCTTACTCAATTTACCCACCTGAGGAGAGTAGCTCCCCATGTTGATGTGAGRTTCACTGAGCTGAGCTCTCTGACTAAACAAGGGGTTCTTACAGCATTGAGGAACACTCTGTGCAGCCAATTCTTACGCAACCACAGACTGTAGTACCGTAAATAACACGCTTGTGCCAAGCAAAGGGGAACCAGTTGTGATACACACATAATATTTCAGCTATTCTGGATGAAAATWACTCTCTGCTCSTGTAAATTTAACGCCTGTTGCTACAGAATCATACCAGGAGTGCTCTTATCCTGCATGTTGTATCTGTGTGTGTTGTAGAGCCCGGTTTACCCCTCTGTGTGTGAAAGAGCAGCACCTCTCATTTGCCTTGGTTCTCAAGGGCTGTGCTGGACACCGAGGATGCACAGAGCTGCTCCAGAGCTTCCTGACACCAGCCCTCCTATACTACTCCTTTTACTTTCTTTTTTTTTTTTTTTGAATTATGAATAATTCTGACCAAAAGCCAGGGGAAAAAAATCATATCACATTGAAATTCAGAGAGTTTATTCCCGGTCAAAAAAAATGATTACACAAACAGGAAAAATAAGTGTTGCAATAAATAAATTTTGCCTAGGGTTTTTTTAATTTTTTGTTCATTTCACAGAACAGGGTGTAAGATACCACTGTAAGATTCATGGGACTAAACCTTATGTACTGAGCTATCACATATGCTGCCTCTAAAGAAGATTACCATAAAAAATCTTCAAACACAGAAGTACACCAAATGAAATGCTGAACACAGAATTATTCAGCAAATAAAATATGTTGATTTAGAAATCCTAACGCCACACATCCAGCTCCGGGAAATCCCAAAATCATGATTCATCAGGAAACCAGGAACAGTCATGCACACAAATTTATCAATAGAAAGACATGAATCAAAAGCAAGGAAACATCCCAGCAGATCACCCTACTTCTCTAAAGAATGTCCAGTAAGTTTGTGGTCAGGTTTTTGCTCTCTTTTGGAGTCAAGATTTTTAAACTCAGATTTTTGCTCTTTGGGGATGTATTTAATGTTGTTCTTCAGCTAATTCAATTTCCATGGTGGGCAGACTGATGTATTTGCCCAGGTCAGGCAGTTTTACCAGCTCCTATATGATGTAAAGTAAGTCAGGTGTAATTATTATTTACGTCCCCAGAGGATAAAGGACAAACTGCTTYTCCTACTGCTGTCTTCTGCCACTGAGGCTCTCTCAAGTCTTGGCCCAASAGCTGTAAAACCAGGTTTGTACCCTGCCCCCCTGCATGGCTAAAGGAGCTACTCCCTTGCCAAATAAATAGGTGAATTAAATAGATCTTGRTGCTTTGGGAACTATGAGCTGAAAAGTTGATGTGTGGGCTTGCAGCAGAATTTACCAGAGGGGAGTACAACATTTGCACAAACGTGCTTGGTTCCACGTCTGCCCGAAAGTTTTCCTCAAAGGAGGTGGGGTTTATACCACATAATTTCTATTTCTGGGGGGGCTTGGGCAGCAGTTCAGAGAGAGTTTGCAGAGTTGATGCCGTTGTGAACAAAGATCACAGAATTCTAGATGTCCCCAAAGAACACTGAGGTCAAAAAGGGAGAAGCCACATGAGTCAGACTGGGTTTTTTCAGCTCAGTTTTGAATTTTTGTGCTCAGATCCAGCTGTCTTCTATTTGAGCCCTTTYTTTAACTGTCCCCAGCCATCTTCTGAAGAGCTGTAATTACATCAGTTGAGCCCTAAATTATTGACAGAAACCACTGAAAAATCAGAAACACCACTCATCATTGGTGTGGAGCGACTGCTGGTCCCAAAAGGGACAATTCTCCACAGCCCTGTGCTGCCAATGACTGCTGCCTCTTGCTGGACTTGGTAATTGTGCAGCCACACCAGACATCAGCACCGCTTATTAATCTGATTTAGGGAATTTTCCTTCACAGAGGAAAATATCGTTGGATTTTTTAATTACATCTGCAAACTTGCTGCATGGCACAATCACTGGCTTCGGTTGTGTGGGTGGAAAGGCAGGAACACAGAGCCAAGGGCAGGTCAGCAACATGATGGTGAATCAGTTCACACCGAGCAGGAAGCCATAGCTCAAGTACTCGTTCAACAGATCATTTGAAAGATACCTCAGGTGTGTCTGTACGAGTCCCACTCACTAGGGCAGCATTGGCTCACAAGAACATGAACGAGCACATTTGCAGAGAAAGATGCAGGACAGGACTCCGTGAGATTGAGAAATGAGAAGTTTCTGGTAGGTGGCAGGGATTAAAGGCTCTGGCAGCTGTTGTGTTTGCTGTGAATCGGATGGGGATGTCACAACGAGTATGGAATATTTGGGGAGAAGGCMGAGAGAGGGAGAAAATGTTTCATCTGCCGACAGCGATGATGGGCAGGCTGCCAAAAGCAGTGAACATTGGATGTGTACTTGGCACTACCTCCCCTGGGAGAAGGAGCGGACAAAACAGAAAGAAGGAAAGAAAATACCAGCAAGGAAACTGAAAGCAAGAGAGAGGTTTCTTGGAACAACTCTGCTCTACAAATGTCCTCACCAGCAGGCATAGTCACGCTTGCTCTAAGCAGTTGCACAATCTGATCTCTGTCACAGAAATGTTCCACATCCTGGAACTTTAAACCACGTTTTTATTTGATTATAATTGCGGGTCCTTGGGCACTTTCTAACAACAACTAGAAACCCTCTTATTTCACAGGAATATGAAAACAAACAGGCAGAAAAGCAAAAAAGTCCAATATTAACACAGGATATTCCCCACCCTATCATTAAAAGATCCACTTCCCTTTTTCTAGAACGAGCATCTAAAAAGCACTGCAAAAAAGCAATGCTTGCAAAACTCCTCGAGGAGCTGAGTAAATACTGAAACATTCTGTTGGCTTAGGAATAAGTAAGTTTCACTAACAAATCTTGGTTTGCCTTGAAACTTAGCCAGTTTCCTCTCTGTTGGATCTGTACTATTTTTAGAATACCTGTATTTGGGTGGTAACTAGAACCAAGCTTGCCAGCTATCACAAAATTCTAATTCAGAAGGAAAAGTCTTACCCCAAATATTTTATTATCCTGCAATTTATCAAAATATCACTCATATCATATTCCCAATTCTGTCAAAATTCTGGAAAACTTCTTGCTGCATACACCTATAAACATGAGAGCAAAATTCCAAGTGGCCACACCACCACATCGTATTTGGAAGGGGCCGCAACAGAGGATGTCTGGGGAAATTTGTAAAAAAAAAAAAAATTAAAAAATAAAACAAAACCAAAAAAACCCCAACAATATGCATTTTTAGCACAGATAAGAACTGTAGAAATTAGGTAAATTTTCAGGAGGGATTTCGAAAAGCAGAATTCTGCCAGAGGGTCAATAAGTGGTTCTGACATCAAGAGAACTGCGCGGGGCTGTGCGGGACTTGCCTGGGAGAGGATATAATTGTCGGAGGCAAGTTCCAGAGCAGCAGCAGACGACCGGTTGTAAAAGGAAAATGACTTTGAGTCACAAACCGAGATGTGTGTGGGTCTGTGGCCGCGCTGCAGTGCGGGGTGAGGGGACACGGAGGGCACGGGGCTCGGGGAGACGCCGACAGCTCCGGCGGAAAGGAGCTCGGTGGTTTCGGGGTCTGCTCCAACCTCAAGGAATCGGCTCTCCCAAGTGTTTCTGTGCTGARCGTGCGGGAGGCAGCGGCGGCAGCGAAGGGCAGGGCAGGGGCGGCACATGGGGCGACAGAGGGTGACAAGAGAGGGAGGGCAGTGCTGGCAGCGTGCGGCCGTGGGACGGACCGTGGGACGCTCCCGTTGGTGCCCAGCCCCGCTCCCCGGGGCGGTGCTGCTCAGGTGGCGGGGCCGTGCCGCTCCCTCCCGGCTCGGGTTACCTGGGCGGGCCGCCCGTCCCAGCCCGTCCCGTCCCGTCCTGTCCCGTCCCGGCTCGGCCCGGCCCGTCCCGTCCCGTCACGCCGCCCTTCCCGGCTGGCCCGGCCCCTCGACGGGAAGTGGAGCGAGGGGGCCGTGCTGGGGCGGCCGAGCCATGGCTGTGTCCGGAGCTCCGCTGCYCTGTCCGCTCCTGCTCGCCGTGTGCTGGCTGCTGGCCGCGGGGACRGCGGCAGGTAGGGACGGGAACAAGGGAAGAAGGGACGGGAAGGGAAGGGACGGGAAAGGAAAGGACGGCGGGGCGCGGGACCGGAGCCGGCTCTTCTCCGTGTCCGCGGTGCCGGCTCTGGAGCTGCTCCGGGCTCCGTTCCGTGTCCGCGGTGCCGGCTCTGGAGCTGCTCCGGGCTCTGCTCCGTGTCCGCGGTGCCGGCTCTGGAGCTGCTCCGGGCTCTGCTCCGTGTCC